TCCCGTGAATGTGTATTAGGACATGTGTAAGGCAGCCTTCCTCCAGGAAGGCAGGTTCTATGTACATTAAGTAGTCCAACCCTCACCCCGACCCCCAGCCTCTCCTCATCTCTTCTGCCATGGGCTCCAGGGCAGCAACAGGGACTCTGGCGGTCTCCCAAGGGGCCCCTTGTACAGGGCTCTACCGGCAGGCATGGGACCAGGCAAATCTAGTCTTCGGAGCCCTCATTCCCCAGAGCTTTCCTGGAAACAGCAGGAAGTTGTTTTTAAAAAGCAGCAGCCCTCAGCAGTAACCTGGGAGACAAGCTTATCCCCATCTTCACCCCTGTGGGCCATCCTGCTCTGAGCTCAGCCGCTGCAGCTCCCCTACCTGCCCAAAGGTTGTGGGAGAGGCTGGGGCAATCACCTGCCAGAGGAAAGGTCCCACCTGAGAATCTAGGGTGTAGATGTGTTTCTGTGGCCGCCTGGGTGTCTCAACATCCTGTGCAAATGTGGTATTCATGCACATGTGCGTGTGTCTGCATGCCTGAAAGCCAGCTTACGGGGATATGACACCACTTCTGCATTCGTGAATTATATGCCCCGTATATGTTTGCTCCTGGGTGTATATGTGTAGGTGTGCAAATACATGAGTATTTATGTGTGTTTATCAGTCTCTGGGAATCCCAGGAAATAAATATATTGAACTTTAGAAGGTAGGAGGAACATTGGCTTTCTCTGTGGCTCAATTCTTCCCCTTCCACCGCCCTGGTCACAGAAAAGACATGGGAACTTAGAGAGGAGCAGGGACTTACTCCAAGGGCAGTTAGCTGCAGCAAAGAACAGTGGCCCCCAAAGAGTCACGTGGTGGCCCATCCAAGCTCCCTTTCCAGGGTCAACAGATGCTCCCTTCCTGCTTCCATGGATGAAACCAACTGGAGCACCTACCCACTGAGCTCCAAGCGGGTGCGGGAGAAACAGGCACATCCGATGCATGTGTTAGAGACCCTGAATAGCATCCTAACTAGCTCAACAAGCCTTGCTCTGAGGAAAGAAAATTAACACAACTCACTAGTCCTCCAGCTCTGAGACCGTGGAGATCCTGGGAGGTGGGTCATGGCCTTGGCCTTCAAGAACTCACAGTATAACAGGAGGCCCCACAGATGAACTGAAAACTGTGACGTGAAGCTAAAGGGCCTAGTGATGGTGTGGATGTGGAGGGCCGAAAAAGGCATAGAAGGAAAAGCAACTTATTCTATCCAGAGGGCTAAACAGAGCTCATCAGGAGATGACATTTGGATCGGAATTTAACAAATAAACAAGTCTGACATCTGACATAGAGAAAGGGCATTGCGAGCTGAGGGCATAGTTTATGCACTGCCATATTCCCTACCACCTGACTGATGCTTTGTTCTAGAGACTCAGCCCCTCCCTGCTGCTCTGCCTGGTCTGCCCTCCACGTCTCTCGTGCAAACTCTAGTCATACCCACCACCTAGAATCCATTCACTTGTTCAGCAAATGTGTCCCAAGAACCAGAAATTTCTGGATTCTGAGTTTGGCCTGTGTCCAAAGCATTAGGCACTGCAAGTCCACATTTCCTCCATGCCTGGCCTTGGGCCAGAGCAGTGAGGAGCAGAGAAGGCCTGGCCCGAGGCGAGAGCTTTCTGAGCACTGTGGTATGCCAGATGTGGGTCCTTGCAGCAACACAGGAAATTAAGTGCGGAAGCCCTGTTTCTGAAAGGAGAACTGAGTCCCTCTGTAGCCCTCCCTGCCAGGACAGGTCCCCTGTGGTACCAAATCTGGGTTCCCTCTCGGCAGTCTCGGCCTTGCTAACACCGCAGGGGCTGTTCTTTTGCCTGTACTCATCTTGATGGACTCCTGCGCATTCAGTGGTGTGGCCAGCGGAGGTGGGGAATGCAAGGCAGGAGGGAGGTTGTCAGTCCTGGGCTTAAAGAGACCTACCTCTCCTCTAGAGGAATCAGTGTGGGCCTAACAGGCTTGCAGCCAGAGTTGGGGTGATGGGGATATGTGGAAAATGAAGGGAACCTGACTTCTGTCCTGCCAGCAAAGTTCCTCTGCCCAGAACTCTTCATGGCCCAAAGTAAAAGGAGGAAATGTGCACTGAGATCCGAGCAAGCCACCAGCGGGCAGTGATTGGCCCCTGCTTCCTCCACACTGGAACAGCTATAGAGTTTGGGAACCTTTCGAAATCTCACGTATTGCCAAGTCTCCAGTGTGTTGCCTCTAATGAGGAACTGCCACCCTCACATTGCAGAGGGAAACCTCTGGCTGTCACTATAGAGAGATGGAAGAAACCCAGTCCTTAGCCTCCAAGAACCTGCGGTCAATAATCACACCTGGCATGGTGGGGCATGCCTTTAATCTCAGCACTGAGGAGACAGAGGCAGGTGGATCTCTGTAGTTCAAGGTCAGCCTGATCTACATAGTGAGTTCCAGAACAGCCAGTACTATGTAAAGAGACC